TTGTGACTGTACAGTGCAACGACTCGTTCATGGATAACGTTGATAATAACTAAATAAGGTTGTTAAATGCGTGGTCCTTTAATGCGTTATTGGAGACATATAAAATTAAACTTTAGTTAAAAAATAATTACGAATCATTTCACTTCTATCAATCACAACAACTATCGGCAATCAAAATACGAAAGTCAAAACTTTGATGTCATATGTCAAAGCTACTCCACTTTATTCTATTGCTATTTTAAACCTCTTAACATAACTTTTGGCTACGCAATGGCTACTTTCATATCTATTGAAGTATCTATCCACTGTATTGATTATATTGAACAGTAGCGACGGCTGCAACGATGTATTTGATTACAAAGCGCGTTGCAAGCGCTGCCGGGTGGCTAGTGGCGGGTGCCTGCCGCGGTGGTGCGGCGGAGCGGCGCCCGCGCTGTGACTCATCCGGCGGCTGCGTGATCTGCTCGAGACTGACCATAGATTGAAAACTCACAGACACGGCAATTTTTTTATAACGCCTTACATTTTGTTCAACGCAGAATTCACATATAACTTTCAGAAATGTTGAATACAGGCTGATTATTGGTTTCATAATTGGCTTTTTTATAATAGTACATTTGTCATTATGTTAACACGTTCGTTACAAAGCGATACTTGGAAACGATTGCATAATTATATTCTAAGTAATGTTAATGACATGTAAATGAGCAATATTTACTTCATTTTACTTGTTTTAATATTTTTAAATAAATATAAAATTTTATTACCATTATTGTAAAAAATATTCATGTTGATATTCGAATTACACAATTATAGAGGCTTGTTTATTTATAAGCAACTTTATTGCTCTTAATTAGACAAATATTTACGTTATACTTTTTAAAGTTGTGATGTCTGTGAGAATCATATGTCTGCAACGACAACCAACTCGAAGGTCGACAAACCCGACAGTGAGGTACCACATTTCCGTAAAATGTACTCGCATAGTAACTTAACCTGACTTCCATGTCTTAAGCCACCTTTAGATTGCAAAAAAACTGCAAAAGGTTAATACTTCCTTAATTTTTATACGAAAGTATCAAACCAGATTTAAATTTGAGGTAACTGTTAAATTAAATCTTTGTAAGTGAATTTCACCTAATTTTTACAACATTTACTATGTGATATTAGAAAAAAATTATATCGGTAAATTTCTCCGTTCGCCTATCTTTCTAAATGTTTGATAAACGTACTTATTTAGCATTAAAATGAAATCAGACAAATTCGAATGTATTAGTCTGGAAGTTAAAAACTAGGCTAAGATATAAGTAGGTTGAATGAACATTAATACTAATTGATAAGCGAGGTCAGATTCATTCTCGGCTTCTCAATAATACAGACGGTGTTTCCATTAGCGTTATTTAATAATAAAACTAGGACTGGAATACAGTAACCGTGTCTACAAATCATTCGTCATCTCTCTCATACACTTGAAAAGAAACTGATATATTAATATATTAATAACAATATGTTTCAAACTAGTGGAAACCCACGGTCAGTTTAAGGATATAAAAGAAGTTAATTGGCAGGTCCAAAATTGATTTGCCGAACTTAAGTACTTAACAAACTGGCAAGTGACCGCTTTCTACGTTCAGATATTGTATGTCAACTCATTGCAAAAAAAATGACACACCACTTAAGTCGAAACGACTTGTCCTGTGAAAAGTCGTTGTCCGCTTTCTTTGCTGACTAGACATTCAATTAGCGCGTTTCAAACTTGTCACTTTTGATTTAGTACCTTTAAATATATACAGACATTTTAAACGAGCTGGACATATATTTCTACTTTTGTAAATTTATCAAAGTCCAGTAAATTTCAATACATTCTCATATTTAACATTTACTCAATCTTCTAGTATACACACAAGCAATACATGTTTCTACATTATGTATTGAATTAATTTATGTAATCTACACCTACAATCTATATACTAATATTATAAAAATGTGTATTTTTATATTTTGTTTGTAACGAATAAATATAAAAACTACTGGACCTATTTCAAAATGTATTTTCCCATTAGACAGCTACATTATCACTGAGTAATATAAACTATATTAATTACTAGGTTTTATTCCGTGCGGGCGAAGTCGCGGGCAAAACCTAGTGTGATACAACGTAATAAGGTATACATTACATGACAATACCTTGAAGGATTAGCTTTGAATCAAAGCGTCTTATTATCGGAGGAATATGACGCTCAGATCCAATGTCAAACATAACAGAATGTGACAATTGTATGGTATCCAAAGTATTTTTATAGCCATTTTAGCTAGCGTAAAACTATTTGGACCGAGAGCCATTGCTTTCATTGAGTTGTTTATAATTAAAGAAACTATTTATTTGATTTTACTGCATGCACTCTATCCTACGACCGATGTTGTGGGCTATTCTAAATCATACATAAATGCCGCGTCTTTATTATATTTATTACACTCATATAATGCCAAAAATTATAAACGCTAATGTAAAACGGAGCTTCAATGCCAGAAACACTACAGAATCGCATAAATAATTTTATTATACTTGAGCAAAACGAAGATATTATTTTTAATTATTCGCGCGCAGTAATTTTGGCATGAAAATAGATTGTAGTACATAAATGATCATTCTCAACTGTAAAATGTAATTTTAGGCAATTTTTCAATTCAAATTTGATTACGGAAAAAACAATTTAAAAATATGACCTTAAGACTCAGAATTACGTCAACGTGAGTATATTAAAAAAATGACACAATGCTGGTTGCTAATACAATAGTATCTAATAACTTTTTACCTCAACTATTTTTTATTAACCTTCAGGCAATGCTCACTATAACCTATTATAAGGAAAAAAGTAATTTGCTAACACTATTATCTGACTGACGTGATTGACATAAAGTAAAAGTTACTCTACATATTTCCTTATTCCATAAGAAAACTTGGGCGAGGGATTGTAATTTAAAAGTTGCGATAGAACAATAACCATTTTCACTAATTTAAAAAGTTTTGTACCGTAAGAAACTGGCTAACGGAAAGTATTTTTTTTTAATTTGTAAACATTAATTTTGTCCGCGTTCGTACCTAAAGTAATTTTGTCTCATTTCTGTTTTTTGGTCCACATAAACGTATCCATTTTACGTTGAGCGAATGACGTAAACGATTTCCATACTTTTTTTTAAACCGGTTAAAGGATTTACGTTGTACAAAAGTATTTGGCAAAAGTCGTTGGTCCTACCTAAATATTATTTAATCTTAATAAAATTATAAATGTGAAAGTTTATATGTATGGTTCATAAATTGATTTATGTTTAGAAGGTATCTTCAGAAAGGCTGCATGCATCTCGCTAAAATTTGGCATAAATGTGGAACATCTTCTGGAAGAATGCTTAGGATATTAATAAAGTTTTTTAAATTCCGCGCGCACGGAGCCGCGGGCCACAGCTAGTACTTGTATAATTGCCATTTTGTTATTTGCACAATGTTAGCCGCATGCAAAAGCAACTTACGGTAAGTTGCTTTTGCATGCGGCTTTTTTATTTTACTCTTAAAAAATTTGTGTTATAACTGTACACCATCAATGCTTACTCCCATCACTAAAACATGTAAACATTGATGGGAAGTTCAAGAGAATGCAAAGGGATATCAAATATAAATTCTCTATTGATTGTACTGTAGCGTACATATGTTTGGTACGACAGCAGGAGCTTAATGTAAGTGAAAGTAGTGTAATGAATGACTAATAAGATTTACCGCCCACTGTTCTTACAGCTTTTGTGGACCATAATAAATCTGAATATACTGTACTATGTTCATTGTAATGCGTTCTTATCGTAATACAATGTGTATTATTTGAAAATCCATTAAAAAAGCTAAGACTTACAGTGTTTGAAAAAGAATTTTCAGGAAAATGTTAATTGTGAAATAACATTAGTTGATGGAATTTTTACGACAAATTGTTTCACCTATAAAACCTACACCTATTTGCTTGAGATATACTATTAGACAGCAAAACAATAGTTCTTTATAAATCCCACTAACTTAAATTTACAAATTAATTTAAATTAACTATTCCAACAAACATGTCACCCTAAAAATACACAGATCCGGCATAACTATAAATAGACAATAAGGGTGAGGGGACTGACACCTTGAAGCTATATCATTATTTTTATTCAAATTTCTAAAACCTCACATTTAGTTATAAGAAAAATATGTCTCTTATATGTCATAAATATTAATACATTTATTCTGGATGTAATACTACAGTTGTACATTGTTATTAGTATCACATTATGCATAGAAACATACATTTTGAAATGTCAAGATATCAAGCTGCTGTAAAAATTCTGCTTTAAATTGTTAGAAATCAGAGCTGCTCTTATAATAGTAATAACTGTGCAAGGTTTATAATAAGCACATGAACAATAAAATTGAATGGGGCAAACAAAAGTATTTTTAGAAGTAAGATATTTTGACCTGGCTGTGAAGTACTTATTAAGCTATACTACATTTCTAAGTCAAATTGAAAATATGTAGAGTGAAATTCATAACTTCCATATCATATTAAACATAGTAATTAGTAACAAGAGCTAGTTTTGACTGAAAATTACTATTACATTCTGATATTTAAAACTGTTAGTTAAGTAAAAAGTTAAGGAATATCCTAAGTTTTTAGTGATATTATTAAGAACTGTTTCATTACTATTGCATACCTGTTTTACGTAGTGTGTTTGTTCTTACTTCGTTCTTTATTGAAATAGGTTAAGATACTTATGTCAGATACTTTAGAACATTTAGAACCTAAATCAGTGGTTAGTAGAAATGTGCCAATAATAATAATACAAATTTATACCAATAAGATTAAAAAACATATTTTTGTATGAAAACATCCGAAGATGCAATAAAAGCAATTATTAAAACACGCATTGTAAGCGTATGTACTTATTAATTATCAATTCTTTAGTTATACAAAACTTACCAATGATAAACAGTGTGCTTCCCAAAAGACATAATCCAAGTCGCACACAAACACCCCTATTCAGGCTACTTGTCACACGCCGTGAAAAGTAGCTGATGGGGCAATTCCATCGCTGATCATTTGGTTGTTGCTCGTAAGTCACTGTTGTAGGTTGATAAACGGCACTGGTCGGCATTGTAGAAGTGCTCAGGAAACGTTCACAACAAATGTATTGTTTTGCACTACAAAATACAACTTAGACTTAGACCACTTCACATATAAGTACACATTTGCATGTATTTTAACCGTTGTTTTTGTGCAATTACTGATCAGTAATTCTAAATGTAAAGAACGATCAGAAGCAACATAAAACGATTGCACGAATGAAACGGATTTATGTGACTAACGTAAAATGACAATACGTTTGATCGGTGCTAGTATGACCAGATTTAAATTCAACATTCTACCAGTCGTCTGATAACTTTTTTTTTGTTCTCTGATAAACTCATAAAATCCAGCGTGAGTAATGAAACTAGTCTAATTCTCTTAATTTTTTAATGTTTGTAATAAAATTCAATAAGATTGGCTTTAAATATTGACAAACAGTCTAGCTCTGCTAAAATCGAAAAATTCAGTTTAATCTGGTTACACTGAGCAAGTGCATTTAACACAACATAGATTATAAATTTTGTTTATGAAAAGTTAAGATAATAGAAATAAAATAACGCGTATGTAGCGCTAAAAATACCGTTTACCTTACAACTTTTCATTACAGGCTTCAATTGTTTTTGTATTTTTTTGCAAGCTATATAACAATAAAATAAAATAGAGCGGACTGAGAATGTTAGTAACTCAACAAAGCGCATTTTGATTCAATTGTTATATACCTTAATTAATTGAAAAAATCTGGAATATAAAAACTTAATACGAGCTTGGTAGACGATTAAATTTAGATTACATTTAGTTTGAGAGCAAACCGATATGAAACTCGTTACACTAGATAAGTAGCAATGGCATCATCATTATACATCTTCCCTATGGGTACTACACTCCCCTATATCCCTGTTATCAAGTAGGAATCTTAGTGGGAGAAAAATAAAACTATTATTTACATATTGTGCAAAAATATCAGGATATATTTTTCAATACAATAAAATCCATTATCATTAGCTAATAGACCATTTCATATCACTAACAGTCATACATTTCAATAATACGACTACTCATTAACAGGTAAAAAGGCACTCATTCTCGTTATAAATATTAATAAGTATTGGTTATATGTATACTTATTTTATCACTATAAATACATTCACAGTTACTATACATAAAATTTATTACGGTATATTCAAAAAAATTAAATAACATAATTGGAATATCCACTTATCTAGTTTGTAATTGTGATTAATCTATATATACAAAAAAATCCAGCTTTCAAATTATAAGGCACCTATAGCATGAGCAATAGCTTCTGTAAGATTTTTTTCTTTTGCATATACTCCTAAGTGCAATTTATTTGTGCTTTGTACTGGGCAGTAATGTTTATACTACATACATTGTATACATTTTTAAGTAAGAAATCATGCTGTCAATCGCCAAGTCCCTTAACGATATTAGTCTGTCAAAAAAACTTTATTTATATTATTACAACCTAAACAATGTGTTTTGTTTTTAATACAAATTGTTTAATTTGATTTAATATAATCTTATTTTCTTTTTATTTTTTATATGACACGAAATCTAATAGAAACTTAGTGTTTGCAAATAGTACAAAACAATTTGACTTATTTTTAAAACGGAAGCATGAACGGAACACATGAAAATCTTAATTTATTCTGTATTTGAATATAAATATAAATTGTTATACAAACTAAGGTAAAACGTAGCCACTGCGTTAATACTCGAATCATGGCAGCTTTAACTTAAATTAACATAAAGAAAATTATAAGTGCAATAAACGCACATGTGCTGTTATAACGAAAATGTTAATACTATTTATTACATGCCAGCTATAAATTAAATTAATAAAGTGTAGCATAAATGTGGAGACAAACTAAATTTAATTTTATGATAATCAAAATTATGGTTCGCATATAAATTCATTTGCTTAAAATTTATTTTAAATTCAAATATTTAAGAATAATCCTCTTAAAATAATTACGCACTATGTTACGCGTACATTATATCATCAGGTAGGTATATGCTAGACCTTTGAAGGTACTGAATTATGATGCAGCTCCTTCATGTCCTTGACAGACATTCTAGGATATTTTAACTTCATATTGTTAATCTGAACCTAAGTAAGCTCTCTGTATTCAAATGAATTTACACTCTATTCTACTTTTGATATCTCTTTCGATGTATCTTAATTTTTTGTTTGTACATTTGTGTTAGTTATATGTGCATTTCATCGTATTATAAATTAGTAAATTTTGAACACAATTGTTACTCAAAATTATTAAAAATAGCAATTTTGTCATGTTCCCTGTCCAATCAGTCTCTTAACCTTTACTCTGTTCGACCAAAGATACACAATGATGGAATACACTTTTAATGAATTCAATAACCAAATTAAGACATAAATCATGTTGATTACTAATGTTTCTTATTATTCCTATTAAATAAACATTTAAAATTATTATATTTTGCTTGTTTATTTAAAATATTTATATTTGTCGTAAAAAATATTAAATATAAGAAACATTAATATTTCTCAAAGGCAGTAAAATCCAGAAAATGTAACATATGGGGTTAGGTTTAGATTACAGAATTCCGTATGTCGCGATTCTGACAAAATGTGCATATGCATGAACGTTTGTCGGCTACGGGGTTATTCTCGGGTAGAAAATGTAATTTTATTTTTCTTTATAAATATTGTCTATGCTTCATTTAAAAATAAATTTGACTTGTAACATAAGATTCTGCTGCCTTTGTTAATTTTATCAACAGTGTCATAATTGATTCCTAAAACAAATAAGATAAAATGGTCAAGTTAGAAATAAATTTGTATCATTCAACAGCAAAGCCCGCAGTTTCAAGGACGGCTTGTTTTAACTTATCATGCATTTTCTCTTTAGTCGGATATGGCGGTAGGTCGAGTCGGTTGAAGCAAGTGTGCGCTTTGGGCAGCGAGTCGGGCGAGGCGTCGGCCACTAAGTGCAAAGTAAACAACTTCGGCGCAGCTGCTCCAGTCGAGCCTTGCAACGCTCTAAAGCCAGCGAGAGGAATTCTTCTTGAGCCGGTGACGAACTGTAGTAACCTAGCTCTCATTTCCGGATCGAATTCTTCGACGATCTCCCAGAACCAGTTGACGATGGGTGCGTCGGAGGCTACGTGTTTGAGTCGCGTGTGTCGTCTCCAGTCGACCGGGTCTAGGTCGGCGCGGCCTGCGAGTAGGGGTTGAAGGTCCTTAGGGGATAGAGGTCGTAGTAACTGTGGTGGTACAATATCTGCCAATCCGCGCTGCAACGCAAGCCACTGTCGCTCGGCGCCGCGCGTGAAGCGGTGCGCGACGTACAGACGCACGTAGTCACGCTTGTTGGCGTCAGTGACCGTCTCGACCGCGCCTCCAGGCCGCAGTTCCACGCTTCGCACTGCGCCAAACGACGCACATTCCACCGAGAATGTCGTGTCTATGACGCCTGCTATGCTGTTTTCTCTGAAAATTATCATAAAGAAATAAATATATAGTGTAATCATTTTCAACCAGTAAACAAACTATCCTGTCGTGTAGTTGGATGGTTGTAATGTTGGTAGAAACGTACAGCATCCAAGACAGAGAGCGATGCAGTTCCGGGTCGACGTCGCGTATATCCCTGAGCGTGATGGCGCGACCGAGGAGCTGCTTGTAGAAGGGCGCGGTGAACGCGGCGTCCAGCTGGTGCCCGTGGAACAGCGCCACGCCCAGGATGCGTCCCGCGAAGTGGAAGTACGACAGGTGCTCGGGATTCACCTGCAACAAAACAAACTTTAAAATAGTAAAATGGCAATAGTATAAAATTCTCTATCCCCATTAGTTCTCTAATAAATTTTAAATTGGATGTTTCATGTTACTTAAAAAAATATATTTTCTTACGCCAGAATCGGGATTGATTTGCAGCGCGTATCTGTCATCGCCAGCGTTCGCGTACTGAAAGAGTCCGTAGTGCGGATTAAAGAGCTCGCGGCCCAGCAGATGCAGCCATTCGCGCGCCACACCGCCGTAGTCCAGACCCTCTTCGCCACGGAACTTCACCAGCAGCCGCTTGCGTAGCTCCTTGCCGCGCAACTTCATCACTAGACGGTACGATTCTTCTAGTACTTCGTTGCGCGATACCTAAAATGCAAATAATTAGAATATTGCTGTTGTTTTATTTCACCTTATGGTGAGGCTGGGTTTATTAGTTGCAAGTATAAGGTTGTGTCTATCGGACAGGATTGTATGTGTACCTCAATCCTGCAGTGTCCGGTCTGCGGCTGCAGCGCTTGCAGCTCGGCGCGCAGCACGCGGGCTTTAGCGGCCAGATCGCGCTTATATTTTGGCAGCGCGTCAGCCTCCGGCTCGCCGGGTGCAGCTCCATTCGCGCTGACCACAGGCGTCACGTTCGCTGCAGGTGACGCCGGTGCTGGAGTCGAATCAGCTGTCGGCTGCGAAATGAAAACATTACCCTGTAAAGCGATCGACTTTTGTTATTCAAGGTAAAATTAAACAAAACGGAATCCAGTACCAATTGACCCATAAGTATAAGGTTTCATTGCTATTGAGAATGAGAGGTTCAATAAGTAAAGATTTTCTAACTGACATGTACATACATGTCTATTCTACTGTTATAAACTCACCAGTCTAGCAGAAAGAGCCAGTCTGGGATCAGTGAACTGCGTGGTACGATGGTTATGATCAACAAAGTAAGGTCTGCCGGATGGTGCGAGGCGCATCTCCCAGCCGGGCGGCAGCGGGCCGGCAGCGGCGGCGCGGTGTTGCAACGCGGCGGGCACGCGCGGGTCATGCCACGAAGACGCACCAGTCGCGCCGTTGTAGAAGTACACCTGGCCCTGTGCTGTTGTACGCATCTCTGAAACAATATTATATTTATACAAATACACATTATGTTATTATTATCCATAAAATAATACATTAATTTTAAAATGTAATGATGTCAACATTTTATTCACACTTAAACATAGTCTCTTAAACATAAGGATAAAGACAAAATTGATGAAAGTCGGAATTTTATTCACATAAAAATAAATATTCTTAAGTAGTTTAAAGGTTAATTATATAATATATAATGACCATATCCGGGCGGCAAGTCCGTTGCTGCTATAGGTATGGTGGGGGAGGGCGTGGTCGACGGAGTAGTGGGCGAAGACGGATTCTGCACTTGCCGCGAACGTACTGCTGTTTGCGGCTGAGGCTCCGGTCTGGAATTTAAATTTGGTTTAGTAAGTCATGATTGGAAAGTACAATAATTAGAACTATTTTGGAAGGCTTCTTTGGACTTTTCCCAATTTATTAGTTTTTGTAGGTTGGACTTATCATACACATAGGTATTTAGATAATTGAAAAAATGAACACAAGTCACAAGTTTACCTTAAAGAAATTGATGTGACTAGTGACACATCCGATTCGGTGACAGGTGACGATGGTGAGGCAGGGGATCCGGGTAAGCTGGGGGACATTGGCGAGGCGGGGGAGGCAGGTGTGGGTGGCGAAGGAGAGCTGGGCTGCGTGGTCGCAGGGCTCAGGTCTTCCGACGTCGGTCGCTCCCACTGGGTCCTTCTGAGTGCATGGTTAACGTAATATGGCCTGAAAATTATCATATAACTTGTAGAGTGATTAAAATAAGTCTTACTATTTTACGTTTTTTCAGATTTTAAGCCTCTATTTTTAATAAATTATCGAACAATGTCATTGATTTGAAAAACCTATCCTAGGATTGTAACTAAGTAACTTTTTAATATAATTTAAGCACAATTACCTGCCACTTGACGTAAATCTCTCCTCCCAGTGCGGGGGCAGCGGTAAATGTGATACATTTGTATTATTAATTGGTGGGTCCCTCGGTGCACGAACTTCTCCAGCAGGCCCCACCACTGCCAATGGGGAGCCCTCACCTGCAGCTGAGGCTGGCTCTCCTCTTGTACTATCTCTCGATAGCAGAGACACGATAACTTGGCCTCGAACACCACAAGCTTTTCCTAGATTTTCTTCGCATAGTTCCAAACATTGATCTAAGTAACAGTAAGGTATTAAATCACAGACAAGATTAGACATTGTATGCAAAAGTGGATCCTGCACAGTATTCAATATTAATATCAAAGTGAATAATGAAATTTATTATGAGATTGTGCTTTTGTATTGAATTTCTTATCTTAAATTGTCTATGCAGTATATTGTAAAAAACAATTTACTTACAGCCTGTATCTTTTAATTTATGCACTGTTGATGGTTGAATTCGTACACAACCAAGAAATCCAGACCCTTGCCTTTTGTGTACTTTTCGTTGGTTCCAAACACTGAAAAATTAAAGTCATATTCATTTACAATTTGTATTAATAGTAAAATACAAATTCTTCCTTTATGAAACAACATGTTAATTACATCTTTCGACCACATCATCACTTAAGATCAAGTGGGAGCGTAGTCAACCGCTAGTATATTCAATATAAATAAAAATAATTTGACTGAATGTTTTGTTTTATGCATGTCTTTACACTTCTTTCGGGTTAATTTCAATTAAGCAAATCATTATTATTAAAGTAATTCAAAGATATGTGTGAAGTCAACCAACCCGCACTGGGCCAGCGCCAGGGCCTTATCACCCTTAACTTAGGGTAGGCTCCGAGCCCCTCGGTGGGGACATATAGTGAGCTGATGATGATTGTTATTAATAAAAATCACAACACAAAGATCATGCTACTTCTTGAAGTGCTTTAAAAAGCAACCACTCAAAAACAGAAATCTAATAAATATCAAAATAACATAAAGAATAAAATATAGTTTTATTACCTGATTGTGATGCCATCACCCTTAGAGAGATACAAGTCATAATGTGTGTTCCACTTTGGGTCTAAAGTTGCTTTCACTGCATTTGTAGAATATACTTGACCACTGCCATCAACTGATATTTTCACAAATGGGTCTGGTAAGCCTTGAAATAAAAAATAAAAAATTGGTCAAGGTCTCACATTATCAACTTTTATTGAAAACAAATTTCATGCAAAATAGGTACTACTTACTCAAATATTTTTTGGTACAGCAAATGCATTATAAATTTAAGGCAATCATTATATATCAGTTTCTCTAAATGTTTTTAAAAACATTAGTAAACATCATACATGATGTCATAATGCTATGAATTCTTTAGACATTGATTTTTCAAATTACTCAGGTTTAACAACTTGCGGTTTTAATGAATAGAAGATAAAAATATGATTCGGATGAATTTATAATTGGGGCCACAAAAGTATCGAAACTCATGACGAAATAAATATTATTCGAAGTTATAATTTCCATAACTAACTTTGTAAACATACTATTAAAATAATAAAACCATAACACAACTGCATATAACTAGCAGTACAAGATAGTTTAATGCATTAGCTAACTTTGATGTAATACAACGGAAACAGCATAATTGTTGCAAAACAAGTTTATTAAATATGTTTAACTTACGGAAAAGATCCCTCCGGACCAAGTTTCTTGCACACAGTACTAAAATCAAATAACAACATTATTAGAAAAGATATCGAATACATCAATATCGTAAGTAAATTGTGAAAGGAAGAGCATACTTGTGAGTCGAATTTTCTGTGCCCCATATTTTCGATTTGACACTGGTGTGGACATCGTTTTGAATGATTCACCAACACATCACAATAATTTTATATGTAAATAATTGACATTATTTCTACTTCGTAAGCCTGCCCACCATTTTTACAACAATTTGTTTTTTATGCAATATGCAATGCAATATTCGCCTCTATCTATTCATTCAATTTTGTACATTGTCTACCCATCATGTCAGTGTTGCCAGATGATGATTTTCTAGACCGTATTAATATTGACACTTATGAAAAATAATTTACTCAATTTTTAGACGAATTTGGAATATCAAAAAACATATCACAGTTATTCAAACTTTCTCTCATAAAAATATAGACAAATTATTGGAATCAAACGGGGTACAGGGTAGAGAATACCAATAACCAGTTAATTGAGAGGTCAAGTCTAAAATTCTGCATACCCCTCTGGGTGGTGAATATAAAGATAATTATATTAAGGTTTTTGTTTTTCTGGCCTTATTAGAGATAACTAAATAATAGCAATGAAGCTAATTTTTTAAACTTTACCACACCTTTAAATACTCGTCTCATTTTCACCATTTATCCTTGATAAAGATGAGTGTTTATCTTCTTATCTTTTCAAACAAGCTCTTGCGACTTTATCTCAAATGCGTATCTATATATCTAGGCTTTATTTATATGTATATAAATATTCCTGGAGAAATTGAACTTCAAGCAATGTACAGTTCGGTTGTTCATATATATATGCTCTAGCTCTAGCTTTGTAATTCTGTGCCTGTGTGTGTACAGGTGGACACTGTGTACATTGTACAGTGTATACCAAGTGTATACTGTATACATCCTTTTATTTATTTAATTTACTTAAAACAACAAATAAGGAAACCACGGGAAACCATGAATGGAAATGTATTAGTATTTCTTCTTGCCATATGTACAAAACAATTTTATGTGAGTTTTATGTGTGTTTAATAGATAATATATACTTAAAAGTAAATATTTACAAACGCATACGGTACGCTGGTAAAACATGATAAGTAGCTTATGTGTCATTTATTCGCAACTTTATATAATTGTATTACCTAACGTTTGACCTAGTTGTATGTAAGTAGCAGTAAGTAGATAAAACAATAATAATATCTTCCAATACGCTTAATGTTTACGCGTGAAGTATTCAACTGCATTTTGACTGCATCCGATCATTGCTCTTTGAATTTGTTTTGAATGATAAACATGAAGGTAGTTGCGAATATTTTTAAAATAGAATTTCATTGTCTTTTTTTTCGTATAATTTAAAAGTTCCTTAAGGTGGCTGTTAATAATTGTTCTTCAGGCAATGAAGCCAATTTTAATAGTCCATGGGGGTGCAGGTGACATAGCCCAAAGCAGAGTGCAGGGCAAATTGGATGGGGTGAGATTGGCTGTGAGAGAGGGCTACAGAGTGTTACAACATAATGGTAGTGCTCTTGATGCAGTTGAAGCAGCTGTTGTATCTATGGAGAAAGATGAAAATTTTAATGCAGGTTTGCCTAACATTACAGAAAATAGAGTTTTAGTACTTATGGCTTTATGAAACTAGATATCTTTTATTCAATTGTGCTAATATTTTTGTCAAAAAGGTAAATTTAACTGAAGTTATCATGACATTTAAAATAATGGGTTTGCTTTGTGTCCTAAATATTAAAAAAAGTTAGTCTAACATCATTTTTTTAGGATATGGCTCAGTATTGAATCTGGCCGGTGAAGTAGAAATGGAAGCAAGCATAATGAGCGGTGAAAATCTTGATGTTGGAGCGGTGACATTAATAAAAGATTTTCTTCATCCTATTAGCATTGCTCATAAGGTTCTTACAGACTCACCACACTCATTGATTGGTGGACAAGGTGCTAAGCAGTTTGCTTTAGATAAGGTAATGGCAGAATTATTTTAAGAAGTTTCAGAACCTACCATATTATGTATTAATTTTGATTTAATTGTTAATAACATTTTAGGGCTTCCCAACAGTGCCCCAGGAATCATTAATAAGTGAAAATGCACAAGCTGCATTAAAAGAGTTTTTGGAGAATGGTGGTGAATTTGGAAAGACTGAAGTTGGCATTGCAGAAGTATGTTATAATATTTAATTTCTTAAGAAGTATATTTTTATTTTTCAATTATTTACAATTTATTTGTGTGAAAAATAATATTATTTTTTGCTACCATTTTAAAGATTGCAACTAGCATTTACTCATCAGGTTCACATTTAAAAGACAATATATACAATCTTATGTTTTACAATTTGTATCCTAAAACAGTAGACTTGAGATCAAAAACAATAAAACAGTTAATTGCTTTGTTTACTTCAACAGGGTGGTGTTGGAACAGTGGGTGCTGTAGCTATTGATGTCAATGGTCATATAGCTGTAGCTACAAGCACAGGTGGCATGACTGGTAAAGTGGTCGGTCGCATTGGAGACACACCACAAATCGGCAGTGGCACTTATGCAGATGACAATATTGGAGGTGTCTCTTCAACAGGTATCAAAATACATTTTTTTTATTTTCTAATCATATTCCAGGAATTAAGTGACTTATTTCCTGTGTGTAGAGTCATTACGATTGTTGTTTTTGTAAGTGACTGTCTATGTGTAAGGTTGTAACACAATATTGGATGTTTGAGTAAAATATTTTTACTTTTATTATATAGAAATAGTCTATTGGTTTTAGATTTTTACATCTTTAAATGTGTCTATATCAACAAAACAATAAATTTATTCACTCATGTTAAGTGTGTCAATAAGAGTAATGGAATTAAGGCTGTCAATCTTCCTGACAAATATTACGATTACAATAAATGTCTCTCTTGAATTTATCTTATCAGACTTGTACATTCCCAGTATCAATAAGGCCATGGTCTCTTATATGTTGGCAAAATGTACTGTACATATATTGATGTGATATTCTATTATTATTTTTATTGAATAATGAAGATATCTGTTCCTTCCCGTAGTAGTTGTCATTTTATTCATAGTATGAAGTGGACACATGAGCAAGCAGGCCCCTGAATTTGCTAAAAATAGCGAAAGTGCTGCTTACATTTAATCTTTATTGTACCCTTGGAGTTTAGAGTAATTTTAAAGTTTTACATTTATGAAAGGTATTATTTCATATTTATACAGGTCATGGAGAATCAATTCTAAAGGTCTGCTTGGCACATAGCATTATAAAACTAATGGAAAGTGGAGTTGATGCAAACACAGCTACAAAAGAGGCGGTTACAGGTAAAATTACTATTAGTATTGTAAGCATATGAGGATTCAATAATTTTTTTTTTCTTATTATTATGTTAATTTGTTGCAGCTATGACTTCTCGCTTGAAAAACACAGCTGGTGCAATAACTTTATCAAAGGATGGTGATGTCGGAGTATATTTTTCCTCAAAGAGAATGTCTTGGGCTTACATAAAAGATGATAAGTTATTCTATGGTATTGAGCAGGGCGAAGTACTTGAAGAAAATTATGTGAAGTGATATTTAAAGGTTTAAAGATACAGATGTATATTTATTACATTTTATTGTTATTGTATGAAAATAAGTGAGAAAACGAATTTACTATTTAATAGAAGATTTATATTAATATGAATAAATGTTATATTTAAATCATAATAAATTAACTAAGTATGTAAGATGTTATTTAATTAATTTTCATTATTTTGCAAACATTCAACATTTTTTTTTCAGAGTAGATTTAGGTAGAACTGAAGTTAATTTTCTGGCAATTCAGTTTCAACGTCAACCAAGGATCTCAATTGTCAACGTCAACCTCAAATGTCAAATGTTGATAAGTCACACAGTTATGAAATGATTTCAGAATTACATTTCAGTCTTAGTTTATTATTTAATGTGTTACAACCGAAGAAAATTCAATTCAAATTACTTTATAAAGTCATTGTTGCTAGTCCTTATAAATACTTAATATATTAGTCAAAGGAAATATGTCACTTAGATTTAAGTCGACCGAGCTACAGTGCTTCAATTGGTTTTATAATATCTCACCATGTTTTCCAGTAAACAGTAGTAAAGTGAATATAATAACGGATCCAGGGAAATTTTATGATACATTGTGTGAAAGATTTAAAAATGCCAATCGTCGCATATCAGTTGCTAGTTTGTACATTGGTACAGGGGACTTGGAAAAGAAATTACTGGATATTACACGGGAAAATCTTATGTCAAATAAAACATTAAAATTGGATGTCTTGTTGGATTATCAGCGAGGTACTCGCGGGGAAGTTAATTCTCGTAGTATGGTGCAAGAATTAGTGAAAGTTGCTCAAGATCAGTGTAAATTGTCCTTATACCAGACACCTCGTCTTCAAGGCTCCTGGTCCAAACTTCTACCTGCTCGTTATAATGAAATTCTAGGACTACAACACATGAAATTATACATTACTGATGATTCAATATTATTGAGTGGTGCCAATTGCTCAAATGATTATTTTCAAAAAAGACAAGATCGCTATATTGAAATTGAAGATGTAGATCTTGCAAATTTTTATCAAGAACTCATAGGTATGACACCTGTGTAAGTTTTATTTATTTTCTTTTGTTTTAGTTTTCATATTTTATATTTAGGTTAAAAATATTTATTTCATCCATTTATTTCAGATGAAGTTACAAAGTTTAGTAAACAAGATTGTAGTAAAAATGAGACACAGTATTCTAAGGAAACATTAATTAAGGATGTTAACAAAAACATTGTAAGCTTAATTGACAAGTGGAAAAAGAAGCAAACTGTGAAGTTGTCTTCAGCTAATGATGGTAAAAGACATGAATTTCATCACCTATAATTATTTGTAACAAAAAGAAACAAGTTTTTTTTAAAATCTTATCCTGTACTGTAGGTACAAAGGACACATGGGTGTTTCCTTTAATACAGATGGGAGAATTTGACATCACTCAAGATGAAGATGCAACCTGTAACATTCTCTCCTCAGCACCCAAAGGATCTTATCTCCGATTGGCTACTGGTTACTTTAATTTAACTGAAAATTATGCCAATACTTTGTTAAAGATTTGCAAGGCTAATATCAGTTTATTAATGGCACATCCAAATGTAAGTAACAAAACTTTCTTTTTCTTTTTTTGTATGAATGTTGCCCTAAGCAATTTGGTGGTGAGAAAAATAGCAATAAAATTTACAAAACAAATGGCTATTTATTGAAACTCAAGTATGGTGTTAATTTTTTCAGGCAAATGGGTTTTTAGGAGCAGCAGGTCCAGCTGGTGGTATTCCGCATGCATATTCATTAATCGCTCAAAAGTAAGTATCCTATGTTTTTATAAATTCACAAAGTGTTTTAATATTCATAAATGTTTGTCAAACAAATGCATGTTTAATAATATTAATGTTACTAAAATTTATTCATTTTGCAGGTTTTGGGAAAGAGTTGTTGATACCAATCAAGCAAGTAGGATACTAATGCTGGAGTATGAGAGACCAGAATGGACTTTTCATGCTAAAGGATTATGGTATGTCACAATATCCTTATGTTGTAAATATTTTACTCTGACAGATTGGTCAATTTTTATATTTTAAAATTGATATTGCTGCCCCTTTTAAAAGACAATGTTTTTTACGAATTAATTTTTTTTTATGCTCATGTTAACTTGTAGGTACTACCCACCTGGCAGCAGCCGGCCTTGGGCGACAGTGATTGGGTCTGCTAACCTCGGCGAGCGCTCAGTGAAGAGAGACCTCGAGGCGCAGGCAGCCATATTTACCATATCACCTCAGTTACAGGTAACATTACTGAGTTTTCACTGAAGAAACACCATTCCCTTACAGTGGCTTAAAAAAAAACAGATAACAGTGGAATATGATCATCTCATCGTCATAACAAACTGCTATATTTCTAATGCATCAACTATAGACATTTTTGTTAGACTATTAGATCTAGATATTTGGAAAAGTTGTACATACTGTTCCGACCCTCCATTAGGAAAAGGAGAGGTTTCTGTTGATTTTTGTGAACTTAATATTTGATTGTGTTCCAGGAGAGGCTGCACAAGGAGTGTGAGATGTTGCACCGGCACGCAGCAGAGTGCGGAGCGGCGCTGCAGAGCCGGCAGACACCGCTGTGGGTGCAGGCCACTGTCAGCTTGTTTAGAACATACTTCTAGTGTGCAATCAAAAATAAAATTTCTTTCCCACTCATGCCTGTGTATAGTACACAAAACAGTATAATTTAGCATGTGTATTATTGTAAAGTGACATTGCAAGAAAATGGGTAGGAAATAATTGTTCTTAACTGTACATGCCTGTCACCTACTCACCTTTCGAGTTTAATTCAATACCCGAATATTACAGTACTATTTATTTAAAAAGCATAAGCTTTTGCAATTAGATACACAAACTATGTGAGAGGTAACTTAAGTGCGCAATAAATTTTCGTAAATGTGACAAATAAAAATAAAATTGACTTGTAGCATTAAAAAAGTACAAATTTTTACTGTGATTTTTTTTTCTAGGTACATTATATTTGATAAAAAATTCTTTGAGTTTAGTGTACATGACTTTAATTGGCCTTGGAATGTTAAATACATTTGGTTCGTTTTTCCAATTCAAGACTTTTGTTTACACATATTTTAAGTAGACTTTTGTTTAAATTTATATTGGTTTAAGTATTATTTCCAAAATTATATAAATACAGGGTCATAATTTTAATTTCTATCAAAAGGTTTTTTTTTACTTCCATTGTTATTTACTTATTTTTTGTCCTGTTAAGTTTATTTGTAATAAAATGAAGTATTAATGTTTATATGTTTCATATGTGATTGTTTGACATCATGTGTTATAGTATGTGATGTAAATACATAATTGTTGAAATTTTTAATTAAATTGTATCACATGAATTCACTTAGTTTCTACTGACCTTTTCACGTTTGAATCATTGCAAAGATTTCCTATAGAAAGGTACAAAAAATAGAAATCATGTTGAATTTTTAATTATTTTAATCGTAATCATTCTTATTTTTTTTTACAATCACATAATTATTATTTTGATTCACACTTAAGATAAATTTTAAAATAAATTAAATGAAAACACTCTGTAATAATAATTTATACAAAAATTCAGTCGGTCTGTGACATTCGATTACAATAAAAAGTATACAATGAAGTTTACAGTAATAGGAATCAGGCACATTATTATAATACAATCTATTCACTAATGAGTAGAAGGATATTTCACTAAAACATGGAAATACCTAAAAATCAGAATAGGTAATCAGCGTTGTCTTCCGGATGTGGACGAATTCACTTGACAGTTTAAAAAAACAATACAATAAATAAATCAATCGATCCCACAAAACAAAACAAAAACTCACTTTTGAGCATAATCTTATTACAAACAGATTAATAATCATTGCAATTGAGCATAACGTATTACTTAATTAATAATACTTTCATTAAAATCAGTGAAGCGCATCTATGATAAAGTTAAAAATGAGCAAAAATCTAATTAAAAACGTTTATCGTTGAAACAACTTCGATCGAATTAGGATGGAAAAGTGTCATTTTTCGTTATTTTAAGCATGGACGACTTTTTTTATTCTAATCTTTGGTGTGTTGGCCGTAACGATGTCGACCTTTGCCTGAACGCAATGTTGAGTACAAAAGACATTTGAGTTTGACGTTTGTGACGTGAGCATTGCGTCCAGGAAGCAGTAAGGCCGCGGTCCACATTGGAACTTATTTAGTCGGTAACGCCTTCAAACCTAACACTACGGACGCAGACTGTTGGTACAAAAATAGTTCACCTATTCAATACAATTAAGACTACTTAACAATTAAGTATCGCGAGGAGGCGGCTGGGAAACATACTTTGACATATTAAAATCGGAGGTCGTGAACATAAAGTTAATTGATTTAAAACATAATAGATTGATTGTATGAGCTTATTGTTTGGGCAGTCAGGGTAAAGGGCAGTGGAGCCTCCTGCAATCATAACACTACTTATGCGTATCACACTAAGGTAAATTGACTAGGCGTGTTTTGAGTCAGTCACGCTGGCTTCGTGAACTTTTCATTTAGGCTTTGATATCTAATGAATAATATAAATGATACTAGTAATGGAAATTATGAAATTGGAAGATGTTATAAAAGTTTGGAAACTAGAATAGAAAAATCACTGATCCTATGACGTTCTTGAGACTAGTTGAACGAAAAAGTTTTACTAATATCATTCATAGTACGCTTAAAATTAAGAACTTAAATAACAGTCTACAAAGCCGTGAATTATAAACTTTCAAAGCCGTCGGTGGCACTGCGCGTATCGTTGGCACGTTTAATATATTTACACAAATCTTCATCAACGTTATTTTATCGCAAGTGCCAAAGTGCTGCCAGTGTACGTCGAATTAGTTTTTTTTTTAAATAATTTCCTGGTAAATGTAATGTTGAGGTATCTGGCAGCAATACGCGCGGCCCGGGACTCAGTGCGGCGGACATTCGCGCTATGGTGCTCCGTGTTATGCAGCGCCTCGCTGAAAATTATATAAATAAAAGGTTAAATTTAATTTTGACAAGTTAAAGTTGAAAAAACTTTTCTAAATTTAAAGCAAAATGGTGAACCATTTCCTGTTAAGTGCGTATTACCGTACAAGCCGTTTGCTTATTTGTTAACTTATGTTACAAAAAAAACTAAATGAAATAAACATCGTCGATAATATACTTTGTTGTAAATACTGACCGATCAGAATCCGGCGTTGGGCGGGTCGGGGGGCAGGTAGTGTAGGTCAGGCGCGGGCGCGGCCAGCAGGTTGTGCAGCACGGCGAACAGTGTGCAGGCCGCGTACGCGCCCAGCGCCGCCCACCACAGCAGCCGCTCCCACAGCCGCTGCTGCGCGTGCTTCAGCACCAGCAGGCCCAGCGTCAGCCCCGCCAGCGCGCCCGCTACGTGCGCCGCATACGACACCGGCGGCGCCTCCTGACATAATGCAACAACATTCACATCTATCACTCGGGCAAACTTGTTTTTGAAATACGATATCAAATGTTTATGTTCGTGTGGATAAATAATGTTTTATTAGATTCTTCTTGAACAATTTTCATTTAATTATCTTGACCGTTAGTCATATTTGGTGTAGCAAACTCACCTTAGTGTATCTGGCGTGCACGGCAAAGCCGACGTCGCAGGAGGCAACGG